GTCTAAACCTACCTCGGGGCACTAATAAAAAATGTCGGGAAGGCAATTTTACCTATAAGCCTTGCCCTAACCTTAACTCCTCGCCAACCCTTACCCTAATATTAATTAAATATTAAAAAACATATAAACACACCTGGCTTTAGCCATCCCTATATTTTTGGGTAATTACTGCGGCCGATACTCGTAAAATAAAAATAGTAACTAGTACTGTTAACCTTAAAAAAAAATTTTTTTCAATCATTAACCCCTTAAATACGTACGTATTACCGTAACATTGCTCATTTTGGTAAATTTGCATGTATAAAACATATATATATATATAATTTACCAAATTGTAAAATGTGTAACAGAATAATCCAAGATCCCAAGATCATTAATAAAACAACGGTCCATAGTAATTGAACAATAAAATTCAATAACGATAATATTTAAAAACGTATACGTAATGATAATGATAACGAAAATAGGTAAGATTTATTTAAATATATTAATATATAATCGTGTAACAGAAAATCGGATTTATTTTTACCGCTGCATTGTATCCATTCAGAGCTTTTTTATTATCATATAAAACGATAAAAGTTTCATCTATAGTCAATATCCTGCATTTTGTACACCCATTCTATTAATCATAGTGACTAACTAATTTTTTTCATAAAAAAAGCATTGTTCTATTAATTATAACTTTTCAGCAGAATATATTTAGAATCTTATTAGTCTTGTCAAAAATGTCAAAGACTATGCATTCAAAAACAAAAATAAATTTAAGGTACGTACGTACGAAATTTAAGGTGAGATGTTGAAAGATTCAAAGTTATGTTCCTATGTACATATGTATGTATATATGTGCATACATGTGTGTTAAAGCAGTAAAGGTTGCATAAAGTTATGCATGACTATCAATACGTAAACAAACATGGAACCATCTATTTATAATTAACGTAATATGATTCGGTTAAAAAAAAAAAAAAAAAAGGTCAAAAAGAGCCATCTAAATCGGTAAAACTTTTAAACTAAAGACAAAATAGTAAAATTATTCCAAATGGGTTTACTATTCCAAATGGATTTGGATTTCCGACTAAACATATTTAAATGTCAAGACAACCTGTCGGCAGTCCTCTTGTTGAAGTTTTGTCATTCAAAAAAATAAAAGTGTTTGACGTGTTCAACTAATAATTATTCGTATAAAGATACGAGTATGATCAAATTACGCTTAATGTTAAAAGAACAATATTCGATAATTTTCTTGACACTGGTTATAATATGTATTGCACATATAATTCCTGTGGTTAAGGCAAAAACTTCTCTTGGTCTAAATCCGTCACCTGATATACCGGGTATTCCAAAAGAAGGAAATGATTATTCAAAATTATTGGCTTATTCATTATATTTTTATGAAGCTCAAAGAAGTGGAATCTTGCCTCCAAACAATCGTGTATCTTGGTAAGTTTAACTTGTTCATAATTTTTTTTTTTTCCAATAAGATTTATCAATCTTTATTTTAACCGTTAGGAGACATAATTCTGCACTTAATGACGGGAAAGATAGAAACGTGAGCTTAATTGGTGTAAGTTTCGTTAGTGTATAATGTATAAAGTTATATTCAATCATGTTATCAATCAATTAATTAATTTATTTCTCTAGGGATACTATGATGCAGGTAGACTTTCTTGCAATTGGCTATCAAATAATTTCATGCATATTTACATCACGTATTTTATATAGGTGATTACATAAAGTTTACTTTACCATTGTCATGGGTATTGTCTCTAATCTCATGGTGATTGTTAAAGTTTATTTAGAGAACTCTTGATTTTCCGTTTAACTTTAATTTTTTAAATTATATATTTTAAATTATTTAGGGGTGCAATCGAATGGTTTGATGGATATCGACTATCAAATCAGACTGATTATCTTCGTGATATGATTAAATGGGGAACGGATTGGTTGATAGCTGCCCATCCTAAACTGGATCAACTTTTCATCCAAGTTGGTTCAATTCCACTTGATAATGCTTATTGGGGTCCTGATATTAAGTATGCGCATTTGTAAAGATTTGATCCGGTTAATCATTTAATCAGATCAATTCCTAGTTATTTTTTTGTTCATGATATCAATTTAATTAATATCCCCTTTGTTTCGAAAAATAACGATAATAGTATTCCGTATCCACGTCCTTCTTTTGATATTAATGCAACATCACATGGCACAGATGTCGCTTCAGAAGCGGCTGCTGCATTTGCTTCCTCGGCAATTTTATTTCGTGATTTTTTTGATGATAATGATTACGCAGAGACATTAATATCTCATGCTATAGACGTTTATAAGTTTGCTGAAAGTGCAACTCTAAAACTTTCTTCTACTGATGACTCTCGAAATTATGGATATAGTACTTCATCATATAATGACAAATTAGTTTATGGCGCTCTTTGGTTATACCGTGCCACTAATCAAGTCCAATACTTAGATAAAGCTATACGTTATTATAACCAATTCCAATTACACGATAGTCAAAGAGTTATATCATGGGATGATCATACAGTTGCGTAACATTTTTTTTGTTAACTTTCCTCCTAAACTTTTTCCTAACATTCATTCTTAATATATATATATATATTTTTTTTTTTTGTTTTGTTTTGTTTTTTTTTTAGGGTGCTTGCAATATTTTACTTGCACAAATATTCCATGGTCAATCAAATGCAAATTCTACTCGTTGGCGTGACGAAACTGAAAATTACTTGGATAGAATAATAACAAATAAAAGTAATTGTAGTTTAACACATGGTGGACTTTTATGGTGTAATGGTGATAGTCCACCAGGATCATTACCTATTGCTCTTACTAGTGTCTTTGCATTTCTTATGTATTCTGCTTACGCATCTACCACAGAAAAAGCTAATACATATAGAAATTTTTCGGCTTCACAAATTGATTATATATTCGGCGCTAATCCTATGAAAATGTTTTATGTTGTGGCTGTTCATCCAAATTCTCCTAAAAATCCTCATCACGCTGGTGCTCATGGAGGTACAAATGTAGGAAATTTAAGTGATCCAGTAAATACTATGCATCCTTTATATGGTGCTGTTGTAGGTGGTCCAAATATTAATGATACATATCATGATGTAAGATCTGATATTATTCAATCTGAGGTATTTATATTTTCAAATTCTCACTTAAAAAACATATACTTAATTTCGTAGCGAATAATATGACCACGTTTTGTAAATTTAAAGGTTGCGCTTGATTATAATTCCGCATTTCAAGGAATAATGGCGTATTACGTTATAAACACATATGTTCCCCCATCACCAAATCCAGAAGATCCAATAATTCCCAATCCACAAATATCTCATTCTCAAAAACTTATAATTATATTAGTTAGTTGTAGTTTTGTCCTACTATTATTAGTTTCAAGTATAATAGCATACAAATACAAGCATAAACGATTTAATTCTTGTATAAGTAATCGAAAAAGATCAAAAGATCTTGAAGAAAATAATCAAGTCGCAAAATCAATAGATGTTGAAAAAGGTTCAGAACAAAAAGATCTTGAAGAAAATAATCAAGCCACAAATTCAATAAATATTGAAAAAGATTCTGAAAGTACAGAAAACACGGAAAGTGAAACGTTACAGGATTCTGAACCAGATCATAACGGTTCAAACGACACTGAAGTAGAACTTTCATAGTTTCTTTATTTGTCATGGTTGATTATAAAGTTCATGGTGAATGGTGTATAATACTGTAATATGATTGTAATACGTCTTGGGCTTATTTGAATTTTTAAAATGTATAATATGTAGTATAGGTAACAAACCCGATTAAAATATTTATAATATTATATAGCAATGACCTTTAAGGTCTAGTTATAGATACTTTTATTATAATAAAAATTTTAATAATGAAACTTTCTTTGAATTACAATTGTATAGTGACCATTTTTTAATACTGTAATAATCGTTATAATTAATTTGAACCTTATTTGAAAGCAGAAAACCTATGGATTTTGCTTTTTGTATTTAAAACCTTATATATATTCTTTAAAATCACAGAAAATCATAAGATCTGACCTTTACTAACTTCCGAACGGGACTCATATAATTGCAGCTGTGGTAAAAATGCGTCTGATACGTTATAGCTGTTTTCAAAAAGGTGTGAATAGACGCAAATAACTATATCACAGGAAATTCACGAAATTACCCAGATTTTCAAAGCCAACTCTAATCGGATCTTCAATTTTTACTAATGATAATATTCTTCGATTCCCCACATAGGTATGTGGGAATCGTTGTTCACACATTTTTGAAAACAGCTGTAATAGTTAACCATGCTAAACCCTATTACCTATCGGAAATCAACTAATAACAGGGTGTCACGTGAGCACATTGTGCTGTGATTTATTATAGCTATTAAGTATAGTAGTTTTAGGTCGATTGTGTAAATGCCCATTATTTAATAAGAAATGCATTGACAAATTGTCCTATAAAGTATGTACGTACTTTCCTATAAAATAGCCCATTTATATTATAAAACGTTAACTTTAAACTCTTTTACATATACCCCTCATTATTTACTGGACTCAACCTTCTGATCGGCGATACATAATGCATTAACAATTAAATTAATGCCAAGACTTTAATGTAAATATATATGTAAACGAATTAAATTTTTGGTAAATAATAAATAATAAACTAATAAATTAATGTCTTGGTGAAACTAATACGTACCTTGTGACTTTGACCAATCAAATTTTTTAAGATTAGATATAACGTAAAAATCGAAACAAAAATGCTGAACCTAGGAAACATCTTCTGTAACCTATATGAAAATATTCCATATGAAAATTTTTATTAATGGGAGCTTTGAACAGTATAAAAAACCAATCACTAACTACAGAACATAAGCTTATAACGTTATATTAGTATTAATTCAGTGCCAAATTTAGCTTAAATACATAATAAATAGAATTGTTGATATCGGTATTAGATATGACAGTTATTGGACGCTTTATAATAGTGATATTTTTACTAAAACGCGCGATTCTGAAGCCTGAAAAGTTTTATCTTTCATGAGATTCCATCAAAACTATCAAGTCATTGCTGCATTGACTGACTTCTTATACAGTTTATCAATTGAATTCTCTCTCTTTTGAGTTTATGCAATGCCTTAACAAAGTAAAATTTCACACCACATTGTCGAAATTAAGGAGTTTATTGACTTAATCATTAAGAAGTTCAATAATCAAATGAAATGAAAATTTCACGCGACATCAATTGAAGTTTAGCATGTAAACAAATATGCATTCGCATAATTTTTTAATCTTTGTAGTTGAGGACTACTTTAATTATATTATAAGACTAGAAATATTAAATATAGGTATCACACAAAAAAGAAGTTTAATTTGTCAAGACTAATAATGCATTGGCACTATAGAAATAAAGTGCAAAAACTTCAAGGATTTGATAGAGATTAGGGATGAGTTCGGTTACAAATGGTCACAATCATTCATAGTCAATTTTCTAAATACTGAGATGATTTTTAATTTGTCAAGGCTAATAAGGCATTAGCACTATAGAAGTAAAGTGCGAAACTTCAAGAACTCGATAGAGATTAGAGATGGGTTCGGTTACAAATGGTCATGATTATTCATAGTCAATTTTCTAAATATTGAGATGATTTTTTATTCTTAGCTTTTAATTATTGTTCAGAATTAAATTCTGTTCATCCTATCTTGTAAGTACAGGTTATCCCATTAATATCAACCCTGTTAATATCAGCCTCCTGTTAATATCAACCTTATATTAATAAAAAATAGGCTTAGGCTATATAAAAACTATTCCGTTGTTATTAACCTTCACATATATCAACATAATTGTCTAATTCAAATAGGTTGATATTAACGGGGGTAACCTGTAGAAAGAATAATACCTTTTCTGAAACTCAGAATTTTAAAATTTGTTAACATCATAACTGGTTATTAATTGTCAGTTATTAATTGGTTATAATATTAGCAAACTTTGATATTATGAGTTTCAAAGAAGGTATCATTCTTTTCACTTATAAGATGGGATGAATAGAGTTTAATTGTGAACAATTTTAATTAAAACTCAAAGATAAAATATTACAGTATTTAACAAATTAGTTATAAATAATTATGATTATTTATAACGATCTCTAATAGAAATTAAAAGTTTCTAGTTATTTAACTATTTAATTTAGCTAGTATTAAGATAATTTTAGCCATGGTAAACATAATTTAGCTAAAAAGTTGACTTTTACATAATTTATTATATTGTAATATAGTCAAATTTTATTAGTTAAATTTATATATAATTTTATATTTTATTAGTTAATTTTCATTAATTGATCATTAGTTATTTTATTATATTTTTCTTATATTTTTCTTATATTTTTCTTATATATTTTATATTATTATTATTATGTATTTTATAATTTTATTAATTTATTTATATAGTTTATAGTATATTTTATTTATTTTAAGTATTTAAATGATAGTTTATTAGTTACTTTATTAGAATAGTTTTATAAAATTCTATTTAAAGAACCTATGGATCAATAGCGCAGTGGTTAGTATTTCTGGATCACAATCACAAGATTATGAGTTTAAGTTTAACTGGGTAATGAATGGCTCTGCCAGGACCACAATTGGATAAGATCTTTGGGAATTTTCTATTAATTAAAAAAAAAGAACAAGATTTGTACAAGTTGCAGTTTATTAGCATAGTTACAGGGTTGAAAATGACTAGATAAAATATAATCAATTAACAAATAATGCTAATATTAAGAAACCTAGCTTAAAAATTACTAAATCAAGAATATTAGATATAATTAAATGATTTGGTTTGTAGGTTATATGAAGTTAAAAAATTGCAAATCTAGAAAATATAGATTTTATACTATAACACCAGAAACTTAGCATATTATACTGTATGGTGTATTTAACAGAGTATAAGTTATCTTACCAATATAGTAATATATAGATGCTAAATCACCAATACTAGTGATCTTTACAAAAATGAAAACTCTGATCTTTGAGAGATGTGAGAGATCTACAGGTGTCTAAAGACCTTTGAGATGCAGAAAGAGATAAAATAATAAAAAAAAAATATTTAAAGCAATATTTATTTAAATTATTAGTTCATTTAATATAAACAAAACTCAGACCAAAATATACAAATACAGATAATACTTTAGAATAGCCTAATATAAAATAATAACAACAATAATAATAAACAAAACTAAACAAACCTAAATAGTAAAAATATTTTTTTTATAAAAAGATCTTTTAGGTCTTATAGATTATTAATTTATCAAGTATTAATAATTTTATTTTACAGTAAGTATATTATATTTTGTATATCAACAAAACTACAATTAGCTATATATATAATTTTAGTTATTGTCTATTTAAAGATTTTGCTTGCAGATTATTTGCTAATTGCTATATCTAGAATTTACTTGTGGGTTTAAAGTATTATATTTTGTAGCACATCCTTCTTGTTAGTTATTCTAATAATTTTTAATATATACATATTTTACTGAAACTTGCAAATTTGCAACTTTAATTTTTTTTTTTTTTTTTTTTTTTTTGGTGTTAAGGTGGCCTCTTGGCTAGCTCCTTTTATTCAGTTATAGTTAACTTTACAATATGC